TTTTTGTCTAATTTAGATGGAAAATGTGTGCATTTTTATCGTTCGAGTCATTTATCAAAAGTTGCTAAAAGTTGCCAAATAAATAAATAAAAATAGCTAAATAAGTTGCTAGGGTAATCTGAAAAGTTGCTAAATCTAGCAACAAAATTGCTAAATTGGCAACACTGGTCCTGGCCAGGATTTTTATATTGCCTAAAACATCCAAAGTAGTTTGACCAATAACATGCAGGTATTGTACATAATCAACCAATCGTGGCGCGTCACACGTAAGAAGGTGAGAACGATCAAAGCGATGCAAACATGCGCACGTGTTCGTTCGTTCGATCATTGTATGACACCAAAGTACTGCGAGAGCGATTTAAAAGCATAAGGAGCCGTCTGCTCTGCTCTCTATAGCTCTCCAGAAATAATGTCATACAACGATCGATCTGCACAGTGCAAACAGCCAAAACCTGGATATTTGAGGCAATATAGAAATCCTGGCAAGGGTGCAAAATGACCCGGATGGTCACCCTACATAGATTAGTGTTTTAAAGAGCCTCATCCAATCCTAAGAGATTTTAAGGTGTTTTACAGGTCCTAATTGTCCCTCATCTCTTGGGACCCCCAGTGGGAAGAGGGGGATGAGGGTGAGCGCTCAGGAACAGCCGTGTCTGAATCAGCATTCCTCCTGTTCGAGACGAGTGGACTCTGCCCCGCTGAACCTCATGCTTGCTTGATCTGCTCTTCACAGGAATCACACGTCTCACCCTCTTCTTCATCCTGATTGCACTCCTCCTGCTGCTTTTCTCTCTCATGCCTCAGTGACCCCGAGGCCCCAGAGGGCCAAAGTCAATCAAGGTATCACGTCAAACTAAAACTCACGGCTAATTAAAGCTTTTTAGCTGCTGTCTTTGCTTTTGCCGTTCAGATATTTAGAGTTACTTTCCCACAGATTATCAGTTATTCAATAATAACAACAGCATATTAGGATATGTTAATGAACATTTTAAAAAAGGTTTGAAAAGTCTTGGCATTTAAGTGTTGATAAGTTGCACTCAAGCTAAATTATATAAACTGGGTAGTAACTTATTACATGCACTGTAAATAGGTTGCTGTAAATTTTACAGTAACTTACTGTACATATTACAGTAAAATACTGTTCAAATTACAAAAATCGGTTACAGTGTGCAATCTGTAAAAATGAAGTGTGTAATTAGATTACACATGCTCTAAAATGCTCATAATCCGATTACAGTCACTTTTTTAGTGTTATTCACATCGTAAGTTATTTATAATTTTCTTTCTGATTTCTCTTTTAATATTTACTTTAATGTTTGAACCAGATGCTCATTTGAAAACTAGCAAGCTGGTTTTTTATTTCTAATTATTTGTTTTTGTATTCTTCTTCTCATTATACTATTTTTTTTTATTATATGTAAGAGTTATAAACAACTGTTTTGTCTGTTAAAAAGTTTCAATAAAAACACAGTTCAAAATTTTTCTTTCTAAAAAAACAAAACAAAACACCTACTTACATAAGTTCGCAAAATCTTCTAGTTTTGCAGAATCATGCACACAAACCAGCCACCAGTCAAGTGGCTACAATTACACGGAAAACGGAGAGAGGCCACACAGCATCTTGACCACTGGATTTAAAGAAAGCATTTTACTGTTAATGAGACATATTGCAACATTATTGTACAGTATAAAGGCAGCACTCAATTAGAATATGTATGAGAAAACGAAATTTTTATGCCATTACTAAACACTGGTAATGTATAGCTGTGAAATATTGTCTTCATCATATCCAGTGACCTTCACTAATGATTGATTCTGGATGTCTAAGGGGAGAAAAAAATCCAAACCTGGAAGACTGTGTGTAATGTCATTTCCATGTTTCCATGTTTATTAATGTTTGTTCACGTCATGTAGGAATTCCCAAACTTTTTTTGTTACCTGAACCAGTAAGTTATTTATAATTTTCTTTCTGATTTCTCTTTTAATATTTACTTTAATGTTTGAACCAGATGCTCATTTTAAAACTAGCAAGCTGTTTTTTTATTTCTAATTATTTGTTTTTGTATTCTTCTTCTCATTATACTATTTTTTTTATTATATGTAAGAGTTATAAACAACTGTTTTGTCTGTTAAAAAGTTTCAATAAAAACACAGTTCAAAATTTTTCTTTCTAAAAAAACAAAACAAAACACCTACTTACATAAGTTCGCAAAATCTTCTAGTTTTGCAGAATCATGCACACAAACCAGCCACCAGTCAGGCGGCTACAATTACACGGAAAACGGAGAGAGGCCACACAGCATCTTGACCACTGGATTTAAAGAAAGCATTTTACTGTTAATGAGACATATTGCAACATTACTGTACAGTATAAAGGCAGCACTCAATTAGAATATGTATGAGAAAACGAAATTTTTATGCCATTACTAAACACTGGTAATGTATAGCTGTGAAATATTGTCTTCATCATATCCAGTGACCTTCACTAATGATTGATTCTGGATGTCTAAGGGGAGAAAAAAATCCAAAGCTGGAAGACTGTGTGTAATGTCATTTCCATGTTTCCATGTTTATTAATGTTTGTTCACGTCATGTAGGAATTCCCAAACTTTTTTTGTTACCTGAACCACTTAAAAAATATTTACGTGAAGTCCTCCTGAGATTTTAGGCTAACATTTCAATCATTTCTACACATTCAGATGTTCACAGCTCTCTGATGTCAGTTTACACACCAGTTTAGTCACACCGACATCCAGGTAAAGAAATGCAATAATTAATCTTCTTAAGAGTTCAAATGTTTTGTTTAGATTGTTTTCATTTAAAAATATTTATTTTAATGACATTTTTATGATTGATTTATTAGCTTTTTATCATGTCATGAACCTTGGTTTGGGAAACCCTAATGTAATTTAATGTTTAACTACCTCATTTTTTTATATAACAAATATATATGTGTATGTGTGTGCATGTGTGTGCATGTGTGTGTGAGTGTGTATATGTGTATGTGTGTGTGTGTGTGTGTGTGTGTGTGTGTGTGTGTGTGAGTATATGTGTGTGTGTGTATGTGTGTGTGTGTGTGTGTATGCATGCATACATATATATGCATATATATATATGGGGCAAAGACGAAAAAGGGTTTAAACAAAAACAATATTTTTTTAAGTTTTCTGTTTCATATAATTGTATTTTTGTTTTTCTGAGCAAAAAATAAATATCATACATTTTCCCCTGATTTACAGAAGACACGCACTAAAATGTCATTCAGTGTAGCAATCTTGTCAGGCATATTTACAACAAAAATCAATTTATGACATTAAAAAAACTAATTACTTTCACCCCAAATACTAATTAGTTGTTATTTGACATTTTTCTAATTTGCCACTATCCTATAGGTTTTGCCCATTTGTCAGTAAGAATTTTGTACTCATTTAAAACCCAATTAAATTTAATATGCTCATTCTTTTATATATTTTAATATGTACAGGTTAGAATAAGCATGTTGTTTGAATTTTTACATAGCTATAAGTGCTACACTGAATGACAATGGACCATTTCAAACAAATTTTGACATTGATTCATATTTGAAACTTTAAATGTAGACACTTTACTTGCATTTAATGTGCTTTCTATGGACATAAAATCACTTTTGTAAATTACTTTTGATGCGGACATCTTAACGTCTTTGACCCATATACAGTATATACTGTATATATATAATTTCAGTGATACTTTTGTTTGGTCTCATTCATTACATTTTCCACTAATATTTGACAACCAGAAAGTGTCCAGATACTCTGTGTCTATAAAGAGATGTAATGGTAACCTTATGATTAACCTAATGGCTGCTAATACAAGTTAATGATTCAATCCCAAGAACGAATGACCTAGAAATGGAAGTTACAGTAAGACCAGTTCTTCTCAATTATATGGGTATCATGTACATAAGTTGCCTCAGGGGACAGTAATTACTTACTGTAAGCTGGCTTTGGAAGAAAATGGTGAGTAATCATGATTCACATTTTCACAGAGGGTTTAACCAAGAGATTCGTGCTGCTCGCAAATGCAGAAACCCAATCACAGCCTTAGTCCTCACACACTGAGAAACCCCAACAAACTTGTATATTATTAATATATTTCAGAGTATGAGATGTCAATATAGTTCTAATTACATTTAAGAAAACTGTATTACTTAAACAAAAAAATTTGAAAATTTGCTACAATGGGGTAAGTGAGAAAAAATGTCTGAAATGTTTTATACCCAAACCGCATGTAAAATTACAGCATGTTCCTAAATTAATGTCTGCATTAGTCTAATATACTGTCATAATAGTCTGTATATAATATTGTAATATACTGTCAGAGTCTTCGTATAATAAAAATGCAAACGAAAATTAAAACTACCCACAATAAATATTTTTTTAGTAACTTTACATTCTGTACACACATGCATACCAAGTGTGAATAATTCAGAATGATCTTCTTAAATGACACTTGAGTCTACAAGTAAGAATGCTTTTTTTATTTATCTTTTTGCTTTAAATCACTCAAAGTGAAATTAGTTTCAAAGGAATAGTTCACCCAAAAACATAAATTTGCTTAAAATGTACTTACCCTCAGGCCATCCAAGATGCAAACGAGTTTGTTTCTTCATTTTTACAGATTTGAAGAAATTTTGCATCACATTTCAGCGTGAGAGGACAACAGGGGATGGACCTTTTTCCCTGTAGGAAGTGTTATTATGAATTATGGACCCATATTTTAGTCAAAAGCGACAATTTAAAGTTAAAAATGACTTAACGATGGAAACTTTTCACTTCACAAGATGTTAATTGATGGACTAGAGTCATGATTATTCTGAGGCTTTTATAAGCAGTTTGAACACTCATTCTGACGGCACCCATTCACTGCAGAGGATCCATTGGTATCTCTCAAAGCAAGTCAATTTCTCCAAATGTGTTTTCTATGAAGAAATAAACTCCTCTACATCTTGGACAGCCTGAAGCACAGTGAATTTTCATTTTTGGGTGAACTATTTCTTTAAAAGTGGAACTCGAGACTTTACAGGAATTTCTTTGATATACTTTAATACATACATTTTTAATAAAATCTAAAAGATAGGTTCAACCCCAGACAGTCGTGGCACATCTGTATTGTCACTTTCGCTGTGGTGATTTGCTGAGTGCAAGGGAGGAATCTTTGCTGTCCGATTCTTTCATCTCCTCAAAGTTCCTCACTACATCCTCGAGGAAATTCACCACAGTCTTCAGACCCTCACTGCTGTCCAACACGGCCTCTTCCAGCTGTCCCTTCAGCCTGGTCAGGGTCTTGTTGAGCACCATCAAACCATCTTCAGGCACCGCATGATCCCCAGCCTCATCCACTGCAGCACCATCAACCCCAGCAGCCAAAATCACACGGTAGTGAACCAGGAAGCCCTGTAGCACTGGCCTGGATTGATCGCTCAGTGATGACCTCAGCGCTGGAAGGTCATCAGGCTGGCATACGGACAGAAGGTGCAGGAGAGCACGGCAGAGCTGTGAGCGTAAGCTAGCACAGTAACGATATTCAAGGAAGTCCTCCATTTCTTCGCTGTGTTCAAGAGCCTGAGCCTAAGCTCGCCACACTTCGGCGAACTGGTGAACATCACCGTACCGATCACGCGTCAATGGAACAGAAAGTGCAGCAGTGGATTTGATGCATACTTTGAAGTTCTTGCAGGAAGTGATGACGTAGGACAGGGCAGAGTAAGCTTCTTTAGACCAGACAGCTCAACCTGCAAGTCAAGTCATGTGCGTTAAACTGCGTTCACGCCATGAATTACCGTAATTATGAGATCCCAACTTGTAAAAAGCATTCACGTCCTTGTAGAACTCGTAAGTACAACTCAAACTCTGCATTTTCTGAAAGCTTTACTTACTTGGCCAAATTAACCCACCTCTAAATCTCTATGATATTCTGAACACTCGATGGCGTCAAACAAGAGCTAAAGTAAACTTTAGTTTTGACTCAAATGCTAAGTGCATACATACAGCCAAACACAGTTTTTGATAGCGTGCATCAACACAGACGTTTAACATGCGCACTAGAAACTTTGCCCAGTGTCTGCACTATTTCTCTCAAGAAATTATGAATGTTTTTGTTTTGTTGCATTTAGTAGTAGTATACTTCATTGTCCTCAAGAGGAACATTGTTATGGACTACATTTATTTCTTAACCCCCTCATTAAAGTGTTCAACACAGGTGGCTATTGCAATTACATCTCTAGTAGTTAGTTTTTGTTGTTGTTCTGTCTCTTACAATTCTTTTTTGACTGTGAAACAACAGCCCAGGTCAGTGTTGCCACCTTGTGGACCAAATAATTTTTTGCAAATAAACGTGCATGTGTGAGCTGAGTGAACAGAGTTATGGTGTTAGAAAACTGGGCTGAATGCGAACAATACACACATAATAGGCTATGAACAAAATGTACGTCACGTGTACTATACACGTATACTTTATTGCACGCATAAAAATCCAAGTATACTTTGCCATGATAAAGAAATGTTTTTCCAATCTATTTTAATTTTTTATACCACTTTAAACTTTTATTATATATTTTAAAATGTTATGTGGTGTAACCATCAAGTAAAAAGTAATAACATTTTCCTTACTCTCTGAATACACACACACACACACACACACACACACAAAAACATGTAAAAGTGTAAATATTTTTAAAGATGAAAACTATTTTGTAATAAATATAATAAATAATATGTTTTTAAAATTTGACTTTGTTTAGGGGACAAATATTTTTCAAATATTAATAAGCAGTGAAGCAGTTGTGTTAAATTATTATTTCAAAAAATCTATAACAAAACAAAACTTTTTCTTTTATTTATTTTTTGTTCATTATGATATCAGGACATCACCCAGATTATTTATTTAATTTTGAATTCAATAAATATAATGTTCACTCACCCAGAGGCAGGTTGTGATTTCTGAAGGCATTGCCGAGTGCATAGCAGGCGTTCCAGCGCACTTTCATGGTTGCATCTCCTCTAACCGTATCTATCAGTGCCCTCATGGCCTCCTGCAGAGGCTGCTCAAACACAGGCTTTCCCAGGTGCTCCGGCTGCAGGAAGTGAAGCAGATTCCCAAGTGCACGGACAGCATTGCTCTTTACCTGCAACATCAAGCTTGGAGTTCAGTAACACTTGATACATTGTGAAAAGGCGGCTTTTGTTTCTGCCCTTAATGAGGATGCGCCATTATTCAAATTCTGACAGATAAGCTGAACTATTTGAATGTTATGGCCAATAACACCATATATGGATAGATGAACAAGGAACTGAAATGTGTTAATGATAATTAGTAAAGGTCAATTTTCAATTGATGAATTTACCAAATTTTTAACTGTTCTTTATGCATCAACAAACAGATTTACACAGCTAAGTGTTATTACAGAGAACACACTCTTCAAGAAATGCTTATAAAAGGTTACATTAGGTTTTTACGACATCTTGAATTGACAGAAATGTCCACGGTTAAATATCAATAACATTGAATAATTAATATCCATTATCAACTGATAACAAGAATTACAATAAAACAATTTGAAACTATTAGCTAAAAGCTGTTTAAACTAAATACACTACTGTTGAAAAGTTTGGGTTTAGTAATATTTAGAAAGGAATTAATAAGAAGGATGCATTAAATTGACATTTCATCAAAGAATCGTGAAAAAAAAAAAGTATCACGTTTCCGAACTGTGATGATACATATTAAGAAATGCAATGTGTGAGTGCAAGCAACATTCAGGAAATTAAGAAATGAAGTATAATTTCATTGATAACATTAAATAAAGTTGTTTAGTTGTAACATTTTGGCTTTGATGGGTGATGGGTTTTGGGATCTTATCTGCCCTAATAAAACAATTTTTTTAACAAACAACTCACTCTCTAACAGTGGTACATATCAGGAATTCCTTGCCCGAAATCTTAAATAATTGTCAAATTTAGCAAAGTGAATAAACTTTCTACAATTTTCAAGGTGGAACACATTTTATTTAACAACTGTAGAAATCTTTTGAAGATGCTGTGAACACATCATGTAAAAGGCTTCTGGCATCAGTAACAAAAAAGAAATACCCACCCTGTCTTTATCTCCTGAAGCTTTAGTGGCAGATCTCAGCATGTTCAGCAGCTGCATATCAGAGAACTCCTCCTGAAACTCCAGCCCCACTGACTGCCTGAAGACAACAGATGAGAAAGGAAAACCATCAGTATACTAGATTAACATAACACACACACACAGATGTGGTCATTTGTCTTTCTTACATGTTGACAGTGAGTGTGTCGGTAAGGTTGCCAAGTGACCAGGCTGCCTTTGCACGAACGTTGGGTGAGCGGTCATCCAGAGCAGTGAGGATGGCATTAGCCGTGTCTGCCACAAACATCACATCCTGTGGTTGTCAAAAAAAATACAAAAATTGCAAAGTTAGTAAAGTTAAATCAGTGCAGAGTACTTTTCTAAATGAAGGTGGATTTACTCATAGTAAAACTTTATATATGTGAAACATGTAACTAAGTAAATAGTAAAATAAAATAATAAATTATGTTCTTAAAGGGTTAGTTCACCCAAAAATGAAAATTCTGTCATTTCTTACTCACCCTCGTATTGTTCGAAACCCGTGTTGAGTTCATCTTCAGAACACAATTTAAGATATTTTTGATGAAATCTGAGGGCTCTCTGATCCTCCCATAGACAGCAAGGTAACTACCACGTTCAAGGTCCAGAAAAGCACCAAGATGATCGACAAAGTAGTCCGTGTGACATCAGTGGTTCAACTGTAAAGTTACGAAGCTACGAGAATACTTTTTTGCGCAAAGAAAAGTGACGCAGTAGAGACGAAAATGTGGAATAAAGTCGTTATTTTTATTTTCTTTGCGCAAAAGTATTCTCGTAGCTTCGTAACTTTACAGTTGAACCACTGATGTCACACGGACTACTTTGTCGATCATCTTGGTACTTTTCTGGACCTTGAACGTGGTAGTTACCTTGCTGTCTATGGGAGGGTCAGAGAGCCCTCAGATTTCATCAAAAATATCTAAAATTGTGTTCCGAAGATGAACGAAGGTCTTACGGATTTGTAACAACACAAGGGTGAGTAATTAATGGCAACATTTTCATTTTTGGGTGAACTAACCCTTTAATATTTAGAATATTCTATGAAATTAAAAGCGAAGCTCCTTCATTATATGAGAAGGCTGATCCCGTTCCTCTCTCAGGCAGGGAAAGAGGATGTATACACCTAGAGCTCTCACTGCTGCCACCTTTACCAGCGAGTTTTCGCTGTACATCAGTCCCAGCAGTATTGTGAAGCACAGCACTTGCGTCTTATCCTGGAGATAGTGATATACATGAATATCACAAAGAACATCACATGTAGAAACTCAAGAGGTCAAACACACTCATGGGCAGCTGGCTGAAAGCTTGTGGCAAGACGGAGGAGAGGGTGTCACATGCGCTGGTCTGTAGGGTGGGATGCTGCTCGTTCTGTAAGGCACTGATCAGTGGACCACCCAAGACCTCGGACCAGAACTCACCCACCTGAAAAGGGCAAAAGACCAGCATTACATCAATATCATGATCTTTGAATTTAGATTTGTACCACCTTACATGTAGAATTTTTTACCTGACACACTGGCACGCATTTGGCACTTTGTGGAGTGGTGTTGGCATCAGCTCTGTACTGCTGGATAACACCTGTTCCCAGTTCTTCCAGAAGCTTGTACATTACACAGAAATTGTAAATCAAGATCAAGCAAGAGACACACACAATACAAAATGTAACAATTTAAGAAAAAATTATTACAGGTGCTTGCCCATGCTAAAGTCATCGCTATGATTCTAGGTTGTTGCTAAGGTTCACACCAAGCGCAATAACTATAGCAATAACTATAAATATGTACGTTTGGTAAAACTTTATTTTAAGGACAAGTTCTCACTATTAACTAGTAGCTTATTAGCATGCATATTACTTGCATATTGGCTGTTTATTAGTCCTTATTAGGCACAAATATTAATGCCTTATTCTGCATGATCATATTCTAGATCCCTTAACCCGACCCATTGCAGAAACTTAACAACTACCTTACTAACTATTAATAAGCAGCAAATTGGGAGTTTGAGGGAAAACAGTTAATAGTAAATATGTGTTCCCTAATCTAAAGTGTTCAATCTAATTCTATGAGAACAGGTAAATCCACACAACAACTATAACGATAACGTGTAAATGTCACATCCACAAAAAAAAAAATTCTAGCTCATGAATGATAAAATCATTGACAGCCAATCAGAATCCAGAGCCTTACAAGACTTACAATTTGAGGTAATACATACAGGTTTCAAACAGCACAAATAGTGCAGGACAAGTTACTTGCTTAAGTTTAAGAGTAAAGTACTATTTACATCAAGACGAATGTTTGGTGTGAGAAACATTTTAATTTGAATGAATGGTGGTGAACTACAAACATTTGAATTACTGCTTTTCCATAAGCGCCACCTGCTGTCAGAGAGAGAATTTGCATTTTAATTCAGCCCATCCGCAGTTTTTTATGCACTGGTCTGAAAGAACCCTGAATTTTTATTGTGAACATGCCCTTAAGTTTAGGGATTTGAACAAAACATTCACCATTGTAAGCACCAATGAGACAGGAAATTACAAAGACATAAAAATCCAATACTTTAGCGCCATGAAGTTGCACAGAAGGATCTTGCTGTGAGGCAG